ACGAATGGTTAGATTTCTGAAAATAGTTTCCCCCCCCCCTTTATAAAAGTGAGCTAGTTCAGCTAATAAGACATAATGTATTAATTTTCTAAATTACGCTATGTATTAAGATGTTTTACGATCATAACAACAAAATTACGACAGACAGCTCATCGAAGAGAGTCGTTTGTTAAGGGTAGTAATAATTGAAGTAAAATGAATTTATCCCCTGTGATAGTGATTGAGTAGTTAAACGTTACTTATTTTAACCTGTTATTAGCTATATATTAAGTACCTTGATTAGTTAGCCAGCCATCGCTTCACAATAGTGGTCTACACAAATATCTATATCGATTGTAAGGAGCAAGTTACATCAACTGAGTTAAATCTCCACAGCTGCAGGGTTTAATTGCTCAATAACCCAAAAATACATCAACATTTTGTTTACAACAAGTAGGCTTATTTCACTGTCTTAGGAAGTATTGTACGTCGAGAAATTATTCGTCAAAAGCAAATAAAGGTACTGCTATCTTAACGTTGTGATCGAGTTATCTTGTCGTAATGATCCATTCAAGGTATACAGGCTGAAACACGTATCCCACGAGGTAGAAACATGTCATGATGGACAGCAGGAGAACGATGTAACCAAAAGCAGCTGATTTCATCTTCTCAACCTGAGAGTCAAAATAGCATAAAATAGAAAAGTCTGGGGAGATAGCTTAAGTGCTGACAATACTGAGGTGTAAAAGAGTCAACAGACGATAGGCAGCATTCCCAACTGATGTTTCTTTTTCTTTGTTCGAATAAGAGATCATAAGAAATAGATTTTAACAATAATGTACATCTCTTACACCATAGGCTTAAAGTGTCGGTGACGAAAAGGTTTTAAAATTATTAACCGAGGAATTCAGATCAAAATGAAAAACTTTCAAAACAGGAGTGAGTGATTAATTGTAAACAGCTGTCGCCTGGGCTAAGTAGTTACGCATCGAAGTCGATACAACCACACTACTAACCGACCTTCTTTTTCAAGTACTTCAGAAAGAGGAGACCTGAAGCGTCGTGGGTAACGGGGAAGACCCGAAGGGTCTTCAGCCTCCGTTACTACTCAAATCTGTGTTGGCTTCCATCAGCGTCGCATTTCATAGTCTTTGGTAACCCAGTAGTACATGACATTTTTCCAGCTTTATAAGCCATGATATATTAACGAAACGTAGGCTAAAAGGGTTAACGATTAGTGACGCTGTAACACGTAAGACAACTTTGTGACTCATTAGGATCCAAAACAACTGAAATGATAGGTAGAATATCTTTCGAAAAGTTTACTTGATCTCCGGAAGCTAATAAATTGCCCACTGTAAGGTTTCAGACTGAAGAAAACTCTGATTTACAGCCTCCAACTGGTGCAGAAGCTGAGAAGCCAATGAGTAACTTGGAATCAGAAAGTACGTTGGAAGCTAGTTTACTAGTATCGAAGGTACCTAAGGACAATGGTCCAGGATGATTGATTTAAAAACCAAGATACTTCCAAAGTATTGGCATAAGACTTGATGTCCTCTGATGGTCAGTCATTACGAATAAAGAAACATTTTCATAGGACAATAACGAAGAAATCAGTCTGACAGTTTGAGTATAGGATTCTAAGCTCTTTGCTTATAACGTGCCTAAGGGAGGCAAAGAGTGAATCCGAGGGAAAGAAGCAGGTTTTAGAACTAACTGTGGTTGTACTGAATGATCTTAGAACACTTACATACTAGTCGACGCCAGATGCTAGCATTATTTATGACGATGACAGTAGACTCCGTCGGTCGAGGTGGCTTTTGATCAGAAAGTAGTGAGAAAGCTTACATTGAGATATTTAGAGTGTGGTCAAGAACATCTAATAGTTTCGTCACAGGAAGCTCCTCAGCTAACTCACAGAGATCGAACTACACAGTCAGTTCAGGTGAAGATTCTGACTAGATTTTCAGTCTTCTTAACATAAGTGACCACTTGAAAATGTTTAGCAGGGCTCTTGACAATATATATATATATATATATATATATATATATATATATATATATATATATATATATATATTACCGTACAAACAACGTTAGAAGAAACTAAAGCAGAAAACACAGTCAGAGGGAAGCTTTGAAACCTTATTTTGGAGAAATAATAGGGAATGATTGTGGGATGAAATACGTAGATCTAACAAGCTGTTCGGGAACAATCAGGTTAACAAGCACAGAAACTTGGTCAAATTTAAAAGGGCATATACTAATGAAATAAGCAGTCTAGAAAACCTAAGTTATCGTAATGCATGCAATTATATAGTCAAAGAGAATATAGTTAAGTGAAGAAAAAGGCAGAAATTGACTGTCGAACCTTTTTTACAGAGTCAAATTCCATAAGCATAGAAGGACTGATGCAACATAAATTATAGATATACGTAGAATTATACTACCGCTGGAACAAAAGAATGACACGTCATAAAACTATAAAAGTTAGGTGATTACCTTGGTATGATCATGAGCATAAAATTGCTTTTGAAACGTCATCCAGTGTGAAAAAATGCATTTCTGTGTACTATAATAATCTAACAAATTTAACAAGCTTTATATTGTAACAACTGTGAGGTAAATGGTGATTTTTCTTAAAATTACTCAGTTATTACAGTGTATATGTTTCTTTTATAAAGTTCTCAGCGACGTTGTGCACATTCATGTAGTAGGTAATGAGCCACACCTACTGAGTTTGAGCTAATGATACCTACTACATGGCTGCCCAAATCTCGGTAGGTGGAGTGGTGTTCGAACCTGTGACCCATTAACTGAGATTCAACTGCCTGAATCAATAAGCCACAAGGAATAAATGGTATGCGTAATCAGAGACTACTTTTGGTGAATAGTAGGACGTTTTCTCGATCACATTATAAAATACTTCTTTATATCGAAGGCTATCTGTTAGATGAGTTCACGGAAAGCAGAAAACTATCGTAGTATGCTATCAGAAATATCGCAACACTGAAGAGACATAAATCCAAGCGGCGGATTATACACAGTTTGGAGTGGAAACGTCAGGAATCATGAAATACAGTTTAGACAACAAATCAGTTTGCAAATACACATACTTAGAAACCAGAAGCTAATGAACGAATAAACTAACACCAACGAGCAGTAGACAATGTCAAGTAGTTATCGTTTCAACTGCAGCATAGAACATAAATCCATGAAGTAAGCGATTAAAGTAGCTCAGTAATTTTTCTGTGACTTAAATAAGTCTTTCAATAATTGTCAAAAATACATTATACACATTGAAAAGCATAGCTTTCAAAATCCAGTGAGAAACAATAACGAAAAAAAGACCATTGAAATCTGACGAAATATCAGTTTCTCTAGAAAAATTAATAATGAACTAATATTATTTCATGTATTTATTATATTCCTCTAAAAATATGAATACAACAAGGAAGATTAAATTCATAGAATATGATAAGTGCGTTGTATTGTTGATGGACACCTAACTTACTTCTCGAATGGAATAAAATGAACAGTAGATAAAGTAGAAAATCAAAAGACAGAAAATGTGCCCAACTTTTACTAACTTTAGTCCATCATGGACCTATGGAATGATCCAAACAACTGAATACTATCATTTGAGGAAATTCGCCACCATGATGATCTGATTCACGCACAAACGAAAGTAACCAAGCCAAGTAAACTTTTCAAAACCTAAAAACGTTTATCTAAATCGGTGACGCATAAAGACGCGTGGCTGACCTATGGTTAGTATATAGAAAGTTATAGGAATTCATGAAGGGCGTATCATCATTTTCGCAAAGTTATTGAACGAGTAATTCAGTGTTACACACGTTTTTTTGTAAGTAACATTCAGCGATCCTGCAAAAACGAAAAACTTCAACGCTGTTAGCAATATGCTTACATTACAATAGCAAACTTGGAGAACCATTCTTTAGCTTAGATAACAATGTAGTAACAGTTACCAGAGTTGCGAAAATTCTACTGTACACCATTAAATTTGTTTTCAAAAAATACAATTAGTTTTATGACATATATATGCGACACGAAACTGTTAAAACACAAATGACCTCCTCCATATTCATAATGCAAGATAAATAATGTGCTGCACTAGCCCTATCACATGTGCTTATTAAATTTTGAGGGGGTTGTGGAGATTTGGAAATATTTCAAGTTGTTATTCATCGAAGACTGACATCAGTCTTCGATGAATAACAACTTGAAACATGTGCTTATGGTTGAATAATGAGAAATTTTGAACCACTGCTTGATTTGATGTAATGGTTAAACAGCTTCTGGTGGATTCAGTACAATTAAACGTGAAGTTTGATGAATTAATCATTGATATGGCGATCAACTATTGGAAAAGTATAAGGCAATACAAAATTCATCAAAATATTCATTTACAGTCAAATGAACACCGAAATATTGAAAATAAAGTGCGTGAAAAAACAAATATTTTCCTCGACACCTTATAAATATACCTTACAAATCATAGTTTTCTAAACAGAATGCAATTCTTTTTCTCATTCCTACAGACTCAAGAGATCGTCCCCCGACCCCAACAAATGACACTATCATATATCCATTGACAATAAACATGCTGACCTTGGGAAAACATAATTTGATAGCATATGAATGTTGAGCAGTATGGTATTAGTTGTTAATCGGGTTATCGATTTGTTTAGATATTACAATCTCAAAAACCATTAGTCAAGAGTAAAACGAAACAAGGCTGAGAATTTTCATAAATTTACGAGCCATCCAACATAATCCACTATTACGGAGTAATCCAACATGACATTAGTAAAACTTTAGAGAATTTTAACTCCCACTTACTAGTGTTAGAGTTGCTTATTATATTACTTTTTTTCTCGTCAAAACAAATTTTTAAAACTTTAAAAAAGCTAGTGGAAAATGATGATTGAAAAGTAATTTCTTCATTGTGCATTTTTATGAGAGCAGAATCAAACCATCACATGAAATACAAAGCTTACTCAAAGAACGTTTTGATTTTCTTCATAGACGATTCTTCGAGGGTGCTATTCTGGACACCAGTTAACATGAGCACATTTGGAATCTGCATCAAATGAAATTAAGGTAAACAACGAATAAATATTACGACAAGTTTTCATGACTAACTTAAATACCGGGGGTATAATAGTCCAATTTACCACACGTCACATCAACACGTCAAGCTAGAAGACACGTAAATGCATGATAAAAACATGAGGAAGAAGACAAGCAAAAGTAGAGAAAGTCGTTAAGTGGGAAAAAGGAAGCAAACGGTGATGAAATTCAGGATACCAATAAAGATGAAGATAACGTGTAGGTGCATCTGCATCATAGAGATCAATTCTGATTCACATCAGCTAGTCTCCAACCACCGATTCCGATCGTCACGTGAACCCCAACCTGGAAGTCTAGGTTTCCCTATAGGCTTTAAACCAACATTCACAGACTTCGGGGACTGATGCCACATTCTAGACAGACCGTCTATAAACTTCAACTTAGTTAACTAACATTCCACAAAGGTTTATATAGTGATTAGGCCTAAGCAACACTTGTTGCAGACATCTCAATTGATAAAGGTTAACCACGTCATCAGCTAACTTGCCTAAAATGTTGCACCCAACTTCTGCATTACTGACGTGTAGAGGCAAAAAAAGAGAAGAGTACCCAGCAACCATGTGCACGTGCGTATAATACGCGATGAACAACACTTATTGTGTGAAGGCCAATTGTACTCCTTGACTGTGCACAAATTAGTATATAGAGCGAGTTTCCAACCCACGACCCCCTTGTCAGTGTGACATGCCATCTCAAATTATGCCTAGATATTTGTTGCTCTACTGAAAAAATTTCTCACTTAGGACGTATATATTCGAATCTAACTAAGAAACTTACAAGAGAAAAAAGAAGCCCATATAAAGGAAGTTATGATGCAGATGCTCGTCGACTGTGAACACTTTAATTGTGAGAAATGAAATGTCTGAGTCTACTACATAACCAGGAATTTTTGTCATGCTAAGGCTCTTCCAGTATGTGGAACGCTTTTAAAAATCTCACTTGCAGTATGCACTTTAGTAAAGAAGCACATGTTGATGTCTGTGCATTAAAAAAATCGTTTATACGCCAACCCGACTGTTCCATTTCGTTCAGTCTACCCAGTTTTAATGAAGAATGATGTCCGAAATTCACCGAGAAAAATATTTTCAAATGCCTCAAATCCCTGAACTCTTCATGCAGTTTGGCTCCAGATGGCATATCGAGTTTCATATCCACGTAATGTGTTGATATATATGGCATCGCCTTAGTAACATATTTAATAGATCGTCTTCAGAAAACACCGTAGCAGCTGCCTGGAAAGATATTAAGATAGTCCTAGCACTTAAGTCAGTGATTTCAGGCACATATTTGAGATTTCGTCCGATTGCAATTACTTCTCTGTTTTTCTTGTTGCTGGAGAAGCTAATAATACCGGTGCTTGAATAATCATTGAAGGCTTTTGGAGATTCTAATCAGTTTGCCTACAGTGGCAAAAAAAGTACTGTGGATGCCACCAATCTCTCAAACCACAATATTGCTTATAATCTTGAAAGAAATGCTACAAATATGTCAGGTGTGCATTTTTAGCCCACGCTTCAGCACTTGGTTTTACCCCGAAACCCCTTTTCCTGGACAAGCTGTACGTGACAAATACTGAGTCCTGGATAATCATCTGGCTGTATTCCTTTTTCTCTGAAAAGGGAAAAAACTGTTCACAGAGGGAAGCCCTTCACCCCACTGCTTCCTGAGGCTGATGTCCCCAAAAGTGTTGTTCTTTCCACACGTCTTTCAGCCTTCTTTTTGCATGGCTTACCAAATGGCTTATCAAATATGTCGAAGACCTGACAATTACCATACCTGTCTCCTCTTCAACATATTGTTTCCAATTGAATGATTTCATATCTACTGTCAGAAGAAGGTCCTTCGTAAATGTTCTTGTGCTTAATTCTTAAAATCTCAGACTATAAACTTTAGTTTCAGACATTAACGCAACCTACGCAAACTGCTTACTTCTCAAAATTCATGACCTATTGATAGTTGTGCATTAAAGAATCTTACAAGTGTGTTTTCTTCGAATTTTTCTTGGTCCTCATATATCTCACTTATAGCAATGTCCCTGAAATGTGTGCCGAGTAAGTATATCAACTTATTGAAGGCTCTGTATTCCAATACTTGTGGGCGACTAACAGCCTATGGTGAGATGTCCGAGGAGATATACTAGTCGAGTATTATCATTATTATTATTTGTCCCTTGGGTTCCTAATGGAACATAGGGCTTCAGTAGCACGTCTCCAATGTGCTCTATTCTCTGGAATCTTTCGAACCTGGCTCCACGACAGCCCACAAGCTCTCATTTCCTCCTCGCACGATCTACTCCATGTCACCCTCAACCGGGATGCCCAACTCGTCACTTCCCATCGGAGTTCCACTCGAGGGTCTGACCTGACGCGTGATATCCCCAGTCGGCCTTCTCAGTGTATGCCCAATCCAAATCATCTCCACTTTCTTCTACATATTTGTTGGGCGATAGGTTCTTGGTTAGTTCGTTCCCAGCCAGAGTTCCTTGTTGCTGATTCTTATTATTCTGGCCATCTGAGCTTCAGTAACGAGCCAGAGTAGGCAGTGGTTGATGAATGTATTTAGTTTGTTGGAAATCCCTTTCGTAACGCGCCAAGTCCTTATACTATACAGGAGCACTGACTTGACGTTGGTGTTGAAAATCCGGATCTTGTTCTACATGCTGAGTGGAGTGCAGAAGATCTCCACACTGGTTTCAGGCTAATGAATGCCTGTCTTGCTTTTCCGATTCTGACTGGCCTCGACATCCTCGTCTGTGCCACCACCACCTGTAGTTGAAACAGTGCTGCCTAGATAGGTGAAGGAGGCTACTTCCTTTAAGTTTCTCCCGTTAATGGTCATTGGAGTTTGTTGTTGCTGTAGTTAATGGTTGGGTATCTTCATCACCTCTGTCTTCTCTACGTTAACTTGGAGTCCCCTCTTCGCTGCCCCGCCTTGCCTCTTCTGTCAACTTGTTAGTTTTTGCCTGTAGATCTTCAAGTTTGTGCGACATCAGACACAAGTCATCAGCGAAATCCAAGTATTCTAGGCTCTTTTCCGCGGTCAAACAGTGTATCCCCTTCTTCTCGCTCCTCACGGTTTGTTGCATGATCCAGTCCAGTCCAGTCGACCACAATTAGGAATATCATGGGTGATAGTAGGCAACCTTGTTTCACTCCTCTCTTAACTTCAAAGGCGTCACTGAGCTTCCCATTGTGAATTACTTGGCTGGCATGTGGCGTCTTCATATAGTTGTTGAATGAGGCTGATAAAGGTTTGTGGTATTCGGTAGTATTGAAGCAGTTTCCAAAGGCTTCTCAAAGTCGATGAAGTTGAGGTTGAGTTGAGTTGACTGCCATTCTATACTCTGTTCTATGATGATGTGAAGCGTAGCGTTGCAATTTGGTCTGCACATGATTTGTACTTCCTGAAGCCTGCTTGGTACGGTCATAGTTTTGAATCTAGCGTGTCCTTTAGTCTCTCCAGGATGATGAAGCTTAATATTTTGCTAGGGGTGGACAGGAGTGGAGCATGATTCCTCGCCACTTCTTGCAAATTCTTAGGTCACCCTTCTTCAGGAGTTTAACAAGACAGCCTTTCTTCCAACCTGCAGATAAATTTCTCTTCCTTCCAAACCTCCTGCAATAGTGGTGTGAGCATGTCCGCTGTTGTCTCCGCGTCTGCTCTCAGTGCTTCTGACGGGATTCCATCTGGTCCTGCTGCTTTCCCACATTTCAGTAGCTTTATGAGGCTCAGGACTTCGACTTTTGTTGGAGGATTTATGTTCACTTGTAGTTTTGTGGTTGGGCTGCAGGTGGTATTCCTGGACGAGTTGCAGGTGGTGGTGGTGGTCGATTCAAGAGCTTTTTGAAGTGGTCAGCCCATTGTTTCCTTTGTTTCTCTTTTTTGGCGATTAGATTTACTTCATCATCTTTTATTGGTTTCATGTGTGTTGATCTCTCCCCTCCCAGATAGTAACCTGGTTATTTGATACAATGTTGTCAATTCTCTATCTCTCATACCTGCAGCCTGTTCTGCTTCACTTGCCAGTGTTTCGTAGAAGTGTCTTTTTTCTTTGCGTGCACTCTTCTTCACTTCTTTGTCCAGTCCAGTGTTTTATACATTGTACTCAGTTCCTCTTGTCGTCGTTCATCCTTGCACTGGTTTATCTTCTGCTTCACCATCCTCCTCTAAATGCTCTATCAGCTTCCATGTGTCCGTCGAGATCCATTCCTTGTCCTGTCCTGTTTCACTTCTTCTTCTTCCTTCCTAATACGGTTATGCGGGTTTCTTTCCACATCTCTTTCAAAGACTTCCAGTGTTCTTCCACACAGGTTTCTTCAGAGATGTTCCTCGATATCTCCCATTTTGTCTTGATGGCTGGCTGAAGTGAAGATGTCCTTTGTAGTTTCGTCCTTCAGTTTCCGAGTGTTGTACTTGAACTGTGATCTGTCTATCACCAGCTTCCTTGAAGGCTTTCAACTTGATTTGGAAGGTTCCTTGCACTAGATAGTGAAGTGAGTGGTGTGAACCTACATCTGCTCCTCTTCTTGACCTTGTGTCAAGTAGACTGTGTCTCCACTTTCTTCACATTCAGATGAAGTCGATGTGATTTTTAGTGTGTCCTCGTGTCTGGTGAAATCAATCCATGTCGCTCTGTGGATATCCTTGTGCTTGAACACAGTGCCTGACTCCAATCACCAAATCGTTGAATGCACAGAATTCTGCAACAATTCTCTATTCTCGTTCATCACCTCACCGAGCACTTCTCGACCCATGGTTAGTTCTCTTCCTGTGTTGTCTGCTCCCAGTTTGGCGTTCATGTCAACCCAACCATTAGAATTTTGATATCGCCAACTGAGGTATTGTTCAGTGTTGATTGCAGTTGTCTGTAGAATTCCTCCTTCTTCTCTTGCTCTGCATTATTTGTAGGTGCATAGTGTAGCATTGTATGATTATGAGTTTCCTTCCTTTTGAGTTGAATCTTGCTGTCATGATCCTGATGCTGCAGGAGATCGGTTCCCATTGCCTGAGAGCCTTCGATGTTGTTGCAGACATCATGACAGACACTCCAAAACTCAGTGTGCTCGTGGTTGTTGTCTGGGTGACAATATCGGAGTAGATTATTGACTCTCCAGTTGACAGTTTGGAGAGTCCACTTCCATTAAGTCTGCTTTCACAGATTCCTATCACTTCTATGCCATACCTTCTCATCTCTCCTCTGGTAATCTGAGTAGTCTTGTTAGGTTCATACATGGTGCGGACATTCCATGTCTCCACGTTTACTTTCGCTTTCATCGAGAGAAGAGAAGATATATCGGCTAATTGGCTTCCCGAAGGCTTTCATCAAGCGGCATCATTTCCCCTCTCCGATTCCAGCGAGGAATAATTTTGTTATTTTTTATATTTCGTTTGTGCTTTGAAGTTTCTTTAGCGGTTAGATTTGTTTTATGGGTAGGGTTGCTAGCCCTATGCCCAACCTTCCCTCTTTACCGGGGCTTAGGACCGGCTGATAACTAGCGAACTAGTTAATTGTCAATGGTGCTCACTGTCTCCATTCTTATTCAATTTCATCACACATATTCTTATGGAGGTCTCCCTCTCGCCACTTAATCACACAGAGCTTGACCTTATCAAAGGAGAATTCTCGTTAAACCAGAATATGCAGATTGCATAATCCTATTAGGTAAAGACTCTAACAAGATGCAGAGTCTTCTAACAATTTACCTTCACTGGCAATTTGAGAATACTTGGGATGCGTTTCTCATCACCCAAATGAAAATTGTTCTTTCAGGACTGATATTCAACACTACCAAGACCAACAACAGACAGTGTAGTGGTTGAGTGTGTCGACCACTTCACTCACCTGGGAAGTAGAATCAGCCCTACCCTCGTGCCTCAGTGGACGACGAAATCTCTGCACGAATACAAAAGGCTCGGTTGACTTTCGCAAACTTACACCACCTGTGACACCACAGTGATATCCGATTGTCTATCAAGGGTCGCGTGTACTGCACACCAATCCGCTCTGTTCTACTCTATGGCTGTGAAACATCGACATTCAAGGTGGAAAATATGAGAAGGATTCAAGTGTTTGACCAGAGTATAGATCTTCAGATTATAGATCGTGTTTCGTGGTGTCACCACTTGAGTAACGCAGAAGTCAGGATCAGGAGTAGAGTTTTAAGGAGGAGAGGCTAGACAGTTGATACGGATGTGAACCTTCATCGACTGAGAAGTTTGTGACGTATGCTTAGCTACCGTTTCCCTCGTCACACAATGTTGGCCGGTGTAGATCCAGACTGAAAAAAGGCCCGAGGTGGCCAGACTAAAACATGGCACCAGTCTTTGAAGTCTTTGACTGTTGGTTTGAGTCATGTGGGGAGATGCAGACTAGCCAGTTGCGGTCCACGGGACAAAAGAAGCCAGTGGTTGGAGACTCTAGGTGATATGGCTGAGAACCGATATCAGTCGAGAAGATATATACACACATTATCCTCACCTTAACATTATATCGAATCTCACCATTTTTTCATTCTTCCTTTCTTTCTTCTCGTACTTTAAATCTCTTCTGACTGAATTTCCTTATCTTCATCTTGCAGTTCACTGCCTTTTTACTTGATGTACTGACATGAGCTGTGGCAACTCGGACCATTACTCAGTAATGTTTCGGTCCTATATTGACTTGAATAGATGATAAATTTCACTGATTTCTAAGATTGTTGTGCCTAGCTTTCTAGATTAGGAGACTGAGGGTATCTGGTATAACTCAGCGTCTTCTCTAGGGTTTTGCAAACTCCACCTTGCCTGTTTTTCTCCAATGTTCCCCTTTGTTGCTTTTTCGGGGGTCGCTGAAAAAAAAGTAAGCTATGTTGCATGGAACTTTGAAGACTGCTAGAGAAGTAGAGGTGTACGTCTAATCCTTCTAACCGAAACTTATGTGAACATACATCTTCACTCATGTAAACGTCTGGTAAGACCAGCATCTTTTTCACTTAAAGCTTTGTATGTGTCGGTCGCCAGACAAGACCAGGAGCAAATGTACAAGACTTTATGCAGATACTACTGAGTACAAGAACTCTACGATACCGTATTTAGGTTGTTTCCTGTGCCACAAAGATAGTATAAGATATGAACTAACCAATTAAGTGTTTTTTGAAAGCAAACTAATTAAAGATTACACAGATGGCTATTATTTACGTATTGTTAATCTAATTGCTAATGTGATTGTTTACCTAAGTTAGCTCTGGATTTTCAGAAAAGTTGTGGATAGAGTTATGATACTTGTCTTGAATGTGCATTTTATACTTCTTTCATTTTATTATGCATACGTATACCCTATTTCTGTTTAATTAATGCTACATGATATGCTGAAATATCTTTCAGAATAAAGCCACTATGATTATTGTTGTTTAAATCAACTGCTTAGACCAGTAAGTTACAGTCATACGGAAAACTATAGGGTAGTACACTCACCGCTTAATAGGTAATGAGATGTTGGGGTGGGATAAGTTGGCAAAAGCCAAGAAAGTCTTTTGTATCGGTGAAAAGATTTCGTCAGTCAGTGACCTTGTAGGGCTGACCCAACTCCACAAGTAAACGAAATTGAAAGTACAGCTCCAAATAAGACTTTATTTATGAATGTTGATTTGAAAAGTGATAATGTCTCAAAGATCGTGAAGAAACGGCTGTCCAAATAGCTGAAGGGGACATTTTTCTCTTCCAAGCTTCAGATCAGATTCTTGAATCGCCAAATGGTTCCAAGGTGTGTTAAGGACAATCAAACACCTTGGAACACCTGATGTGTTGCTACAGATATATGTGCTAATATGGAGCTACTTATATAAGCCAAACAAGCGCGCTTTTTCTAAACACAACTTCTAGCGTTATCCAGTATGGTTTTCAAGGGGAGAATACAAAACAATTAATAGTTCAATTTTTGAACATTTGCTTAACTGTAAGCAAAGCTCCACCAGAATCCACTTTCAATATCATCTATGGAGCCAAAGGGATCGGTTCAAAAGGAGTGTTCTTTTGAAAATTTTGCAGAACTGGCAGTTCACCAATTAGAACCTGATCTCTGTTTGCAGAAGAGGTACGTTCAATCGCTTATATTACCACTGTCTTAACTGTCATATTTTTAGTTTCCTCAACTCCATTTCATTATAGTTAATTAGTTTACTATTACCGTCTTCATTCTGACACGTTTTTTTCTTTATATCTATCAAGTGGACACTCAACCATCACATGTCATACCCATCAATAGTTTTCCCCTCATCAAACTCTTTGTCCTAAACGTTATCTCCATTGTCTGATAGACTATAAAGCAACTCCTTTCCACTCTTTAATTGGGTTTTAACATCAATTTGATGATACAGTTATACCATATTGTTCAATAATAGAACGATATGCTATGTAAATAAATTGAAATCCAATTATGGTTATTAATTAACAAAGCCCTATATTACTGAGTCAAATACTATAGATTCGAATTATATCGTCATTAAAGCTCTTTTTCAACTTCATTTTTCATCTTCGTACCAATAAAGACTCAGTTTACGCGGGCTATTCCAAATGGTATAATAAGTAATACCATGTGTTTAATCAAACATCAATTTTGATACAAAAGAGATAATAAGAAAAGTTCTTTAACACAAAAGTTAGATTATAATTTCAAAACTTGTGCTTACTTGATTAATCCTATCGCATTCACACTGGTCGTCGTCATCATCATCATTCATGGTTCGTCGTTCACTTAGTTCATTTGGGTTTCCATCTCCACTTATCACCAAAGTTGACTGACCACGGTATTCATTATTCTCATCAACAGGAAATGTCTTCCAACTCTTACAAATTTAGACTTTCTCGGCCATATATAGGCTTCAGTGAAACAGAATCCAGTTACTATAAAATATAGTGTAACTGATACAGTAACGATAGCGTATAATTGCCAACCAGTTCCACTGACAAGAAAAGTGAAATGATCACCCAGAATTATTAGGAATTGGAATTCAGAGTAAAGAAATAAATTATGAGCTAAAAATGTCATTGAAAAGTAATTAATCTATTTAATAGGGCTTTCTTTTTAAAATTCTGCATTTAAGCTAACATGTAGGCTTGAAGTATGACAATATTCGAACATATGACTTTATTGTAAACTGAGCTTCAGCACTACTAAACAATAATTCATAAAATCTGCATTGTTCTATTCTGTCTGTGTGCTGTTTTATGATTTAGACCAACAAGTAATAAAGGGATAGGGAATTACTAAGTAAACAAGCATAATATTAGTTAAATAACACAGTTTATGCGAGTGTACTGGAGGTATAGCTCATTGATTTAGGTACTCGACTTTCAGCCATGGATTTGAACACCACCCCAACTACTGAGATGCAGGCAGTCAATTAGTTTCATCAGCGCCCACACAATACATATGGTTCCATGTCTACTGTATGAGAGTGCAAACGGTTGTTGAGTTTCAAAAGCACATATAAAAGTGAAAACTCTGAGATGTGCAAATAAGTTTGGTTAACATACACATTTGATTTCATCAGGTTAGCTAGCAATACTGTAGTTACAGGTAACAAAAATATACTTTACCCATTTACGAGAACATTGTAAATATGTGTATATCTGCAAGTAATCAATGTTTCTTTTAAGCAAACTTTGATGCTTTGAAGTTAGATGTAGGAGCGCTTATTTCGGATTCACCTTAAGAAAACATCAAATACACTGATTCAGTCATTTATCCATTTGCTTTAAAAAGAGACCTTTGAATTCAAGTCTGGTTTCACAGGAAACTAATGTCCAGGACGAGGAACAGTTTTCAATTAAATCTGAAACCCACAATATTCGGAGGTCGACGGAAGGAGAATGAAATGGCATCAATAAATCCTGAAACATGATAAGATGAATTATTACATATTGGCTATATTATTCGGAAGCATGTTGCGATGCATAGAGCTGGGTCTTACGATCATGTCATCGCTCTTGACGCGGATTATTATTATAAATTATCAGTGGTTTAAGACAACCATCATCAAAAATACTGTTTAAGAATTAGGATCTGAAAATTATTTTTTCATCCTTTAAACTGCTTTCAGCATGTGTATCACTGATATCAGCCAAGTTGAAAAACACACATTTATTTCGATGTTACTTTGTTGGAGACAATCGATAGAAAGAACTGGGTTTCGGACTTGCTGGCAAACATCGACAAGGCGTATGCACAACCCCAAGAGAACTGATATTCCTTCAGAGACTCCAACCATATCACCCGGTACTGTAGTCAGTGGTCTTACCACTGCGCTGTTCGCGCTTCAACTGACCTCCCATAGGATTGAATTTCATAGACCGATCAGTCACTTAAGGGTAAGCAATTCATGTTATCTAGTCATAGGTAATAACTGAATGGCACTAATAATTTCTAGATGCTGTCGCGAATCTAAGAAACCTAATGGCTGCCCGAAAAGCTTAGTGGTAAGGTCACTGACCGCAGCATTGGGTGACAGGTTTGAATCTCTGTCGGGATATCAGTTTCTACTAGAGTGTGAATACGATTTGCCGGAGAATGCCAACAAGGACAAATTATAGGTTCAAAAGTTCCTACCTATTACCACCAACCACCTAAAACTAGTCAGAGTGCACCAAGATTGTAAGTCTTCGACCTTGGTGACCACAATACAAAATGATCGATAGAATCCGGTAAGTAGTTAGGACTAAACAACAAAAAATTGATTACTCTGCAGTGACGAATTAATGAATATATTTATTTACTGAAAGTTTTGTTACCATCACTTCTGTCTAAGGGAAACAATGTTCATTATCGGAAAACAACGTTTTCAATCAATTTCATTTTGATCTTAATAATAAACACTTCACCGTGGTTGTCTAGGTAATAAGAGGAAGAGACAAAACTAAGTAGGTGTAATCCTAGAAAGAAAACTGATCGACATTCATTTTAACGAGAAATTTAGTCAACGAATACTTTACTACGTTCGTCTTTAGAAGGATAGACTATCAGTAAATGAAGTAGTGTGTTGACGTCTGTATAGATACAAGTATACAGCTTTAAAGAAAGAAATGAATTCAACCAGTGAAATCTAAAAGCAATCAAACTGAAAAATATAACGATTCGATACTCAGAACAAATATTATTCAACAGACTGAATACTTTTATGCTAGCATATCCAACAGTAAAGCATAAAAATGAAATTAAACAGCATTATATCACCAAAAGAAACAATTATACAACTCTAGTCAGATATGAGATAACTGTTGAGGACAGTTAGTCACATTAACGTCATTAGAAGCAAATAGTTGCTGAATTTACAGCAAGATTTGAAAAATCCATCCCTGATTTCAGGTTCATGGTTCCCTCGAGGTGTGGTGAAAAATGATTATTTCCAAAAACAAAATGGAAATTGAACAAATGTTACAAGGAATATGCATCTAAAATTTGTTTCTCTGAAGTGATTATGGGCAACAGATTGTAACTAGAGCATCATCCGGTAGATAATACTGATTATTTGGGTATTATATCAAACAAACGTAGATAAAATAGAACCTCACACTACCGAGTAAAAGTTCACGTCTCCAAACTCCTCACCTAGGCAAGATGCAACAAGGTGGAAGATATTCAAGTGGGAAAAAATTGTAAAAGGCTATGACCTAAAAATAAAAAACGCAGAAAATGACTGGATTCAATATAAGGAACTATATAAGGAATAAGTACATCTGAAGTACTGCGATAAATTTTGAGCCATATCATCAACAGTCGTCAAACATTAATTTTTAATGTTGTGTCCACCATACGAAAATGAAGTTATAAAGATAACTATGGTCAAGTACCTGAAGTTTCCTAGGTTAAAAAATGATGGACATTAGAATTTTTCGTCGTTGATTTAAGTGATATCTGTTGTTCTCTAAGCTTTGATATTTTGTCCTGAACGTTTCATCACCAGGCCTGGTGACATCTTCAGCACTAACTTCTTTATGATGTTCAGTCCTATTAACTTACAGTTTTCTCGTGTAATTTTCTAATGATTTTCACTTACTAATTTCAATCTATCCTTAAGATTTTCGAAATACCAGTTTATTCACATAATAATCTACTCAAAAGCAGCATCACTACCCTCCCCTACTCACTGAACCATTTACTTTTTTTTCGTAACCTTGAAAACTATTACACTATGCATAAGAAGCGTGACCTGGGCTATTTTACCATTATTTTATCTCCATATTTTCTGGATATGTTGTTACACTGTGTATAGTGAATTTTCCTTCCACTCCAAACAGTTCAAGTATGTTAGTTACCTATTTGTTATCGTTCTGACTATCTCGGACAGCCGTGGTTTGGCAGACTGGTATTTATGCTGAGTGATGACTGAGGGTGAAATGAAAATTTGGCCTAAATTACAAATATATTATTCACATGAAAAAACGAAACTTTAGTTTAAACAATATCAAAAGAATTCCTATTTTTATTCAAGAGTCGTTAGTAAAACTTTTTGATAATTCGACCAGACAGAGTGGAAGATGCATAAATGAAAGACAATTAATTAACTGGACACAAACAGCAACTGGCGCTAAGATGAACAGTTTTATGCTGATCTCAAAAACAAACGCGTTCTGTGAGCGTCTAAATCCCAGAAACTTTTAAACAGTAGTCAACTAAGAAGGTTGTCTCAATGCTGCCTACACTTGGTTGATACTACATAACATAATTTCCAGTAGGAACCTTCCAGTATATCCAACCGATTAGCATGATGATTAAAATGGTGTTTATCAAATTTTGTGCCATTGAAGTACCATCACAAAATGGTGTTATAATCATCCATGCATCTACTACACGAAGATATTGTGAGATACATGACCACTTTTTCTATTTCTACTCAGAGATTTACTTCTGGAGTTTATTATTCCTTCCTCTGACTTCTCAAAGACTAATTAATATGCCTGGATAGTTAGGTATGCCAGTGACACAGATACACTGGTAAAGAATAGATTAAAAGTACTGTATTATGAATACCGCAAAAGAAGATAGTCGAAATGCGTTACTTATCTTCCAGGTGTGAACTACTGGTTTCGAGAGTTATATACTTTGATGACTGGCGAAATTATCGCACGAATAAGAAAAGATTCATTTGACACTTCCCAGTTTCTGTAAATTCTAAAGCAGATGAAAGATTAGAATATCTCTTACAAACTGATTGGGCCATGCTGTAGGCAACTTTATGTTTTATTTCTACCGAATGTGACATTTGAAGGTGGTCGAAATGAAGAAATAGTGAGTGAGCCAGCAAAAATCTCTGTGTGCATTGGAAGCACAGAGTCCGGAATGGTGAGAATGAGCGTAAAGTTCTGAATTCGAAATGTAGGTAGTCTAACAAGGTTGATGAGGCTTAGGTGACTGAGAAACGTCTAGCGCAAACCTAATTACCGCTTATCTGGAAGTCAAAAGTCAACTGAAGACAGAAAATGAAAGACACGGGGTAACCAGTTCTAAAGACGGCATTCATCGATGAAGGCAATAAACACCTATTTGAATCAATGAAGGTACTTTAAGCCTTCCGAACTTGGTTTCCAAAACAAATGGAACCAATAAGTGATGACTTAAGATGATTCGTAGAATCGATCTCAATAGTGCATATACCCCCATAATCCCTAATCCTTAAAGATAGAACAGATTATCCAGATTATAACTACCTTATGCACTAGTCATCCGTCATAATCAGTGTAATTCACAATTTCCAGTTTATTTGTTGTTTACCTCCCTTCACTTTGCCAGTCAGAAGTATGGCAACTTGAATCAAGTTACTTATATAACGCTATATTTTGTATACATCCGCTTACTGATAATTTGTTTTATAACTGATTAAAAGGGTTTACAACTACCTGTGTAAGTAGTCTATTAATAAAAATCCACAAATTAACACTAATTCCTGCAACTGACGAATCACCTCACGATTCAGTCAAGTTTGAAGCAGAGGAATTATGATTGTGTATGGTTATTGCGGGTATAGCACGAGTCGTGTGTATTCAATATTATACGAATTTCACAGACCACTGAAGAAATTGAATCCAATCATTTCGGTGATGACAGATAAATGAAAAGCCTTTGAGGATGAAAGAGAAACCAAGGACAGTTACACTACATAGTAACTAAGATGTATTACGGATACATACAAATTTTACGCCATTGCAACGCAGTGATCGTCATTCACTCACAAATTTATCATACGTAAGCGAATATCAGAAATGTAAGTAGGTCAAGAATAGCTCATTTTTATTATCCTGAACTGCTTTCTAAATCTATGTTAAACTACGAACAGAAATGTTAGACGGGTCAACAAAATACACAACCTGACAGAAACAATAAGGAATTGTTCACATCACAATAGCCAAACCTGACGAACTGAAAAAAGTGGTTTTCAAATATTCCGCTGAATGATAATACGTAGCTAATAAACAATACAGTGAGTAACTTTTGAAGGAAACGTTTTACTGACTTTTTCCCTGTTAAACGAATATAGCTATGATGATACAAATTGAAGAAATAGTACGACAGTGACAAATGTAAGTCGCTAAAGTGTGAATGGTCAGGTTCTAACTAAAATGTTAAAACTAGTAAAGTAGTTACGATGTTTCAACCAGAATTGATAAAGTATTTTCTACCCACTTTAGTCAGTAAGAAACCAACCAAATGTTATGAATTCATTTCCTAGCGCTATACCTTTGGAAAATCTTTAGAATTTAACGCTGTTTTAATTATCTTACCACTCTTGGGTCACATACCAACGATATCTATGACTAATGGCGTTAGAGCAGAAGATTCTAGTCTGCTGAGCAGCATATTTGATTCTTGAGTAGATCAAGATATTTAGTACTGTAGAGTGTACAAGGTTGTAATATGATGGTCGAATACCAAACTTACAACTCAGAGACAAAATTCCATTGAATACTCAGTTACCTTCGAATATATAAAAGTGCTTACATTATACACCTGCAGGTACGACGACTCTTACATAAAAATTGAAAAATACATACTTATTCCCCAGAATAAAAAGACAGAATGTCTACTCTAAACGAGGCAGCTATCACTCCTCTTACAATAACTATGTATTTCTAAATTTTGTCATCCTTAAAACATGAGCGAATCAATAGCTTTGTTTTTATTAGTGGAGGCCATCAGACCATCTATTCAAAACGTGCAGGTATATTGATTAATATTAGAAGCATCTTGTGTTAGTGAAGGCTTAGTTATAACAAAAAAAAAGGCTTGAGAGAAACGCACCACGTGATTATTTGTGTATGGGTGTATACGATGAGCCAGTACGTCTAATATTTCTCAGCGTATTTTATTCAAAGGATATACAAAAATAAGTGTCAATTGTTTTAAACTATCTTTCCCTACACAACACGATAGCAAATATATTAAAATTGCTTCCGTTTAATAATGTTAACAATCCGGTAGCTCGAAAACAAGTAAAAATTGACTAGGAAATATTATAAGAAGTTTAACTCCAAAATGACTGTCTAGTGGTGATTTAGGCACAATGTCACTAGCCTATTAAGTGAATGCACAGACTGTTACGGTCCCGGTTATCTCTTAGACTTGTGTTATCTGTTAAATGTAGTTTGATTTCCAAAAACATATTTATAACATCAGCATTGGTGAACATTCCTACTGTCTGACTATGGGTACATCACTAACTTAACACTTCTGTGAACCAACACTGGATAAGTTCGAAGTTTTTCCAGAAAAATAATGACCTAAAGCGAAGCAAGTGAAGTCTCTAATCACTTTTCAAAAAAAAGTTTACTATCCTCAATGCTCACTACACCTGAATTTAGTTCATTGCCTTACAAGCATAACCAGCCCAAGAGCAAAAAATATTTGCTGAAATTAAGCCTAGTTCCACTTGCACCACAGTTATTCTTTCGAATGATATGACACTTTTATGAAATGCTACTTCCGAATGTACGACATGATACTTCACTCTGGTCTGTCGAATTGCAGAGAAAATGACTATTCAAACAAAGCATCTGAGAAGGGACGCTTCATGTATTCAACCACCACGTCTTTCGTAGCACATGCCATATGCTGCAGAACTACCGTGCTGGTGATGCAGCGTTCCAGGTTGTAAGTATTCATCAACTCACATGACTAGAACAAGTGTCGCGCAAGTCTAGTCGCCGCATAAACCGTTGTGCAATGTTAGTTAACTAAGTTTAGGTTGGAAAAAGTTTGAAAGTGGACAGACTAAAATATTACATCAGTCTCTAGTCTGTGAATGTTGATTTGAGTCATGTAGAGAAATGTAGACTTCCCGGTTAGGGTCCACGTGACGACCGAAATTGGCGGTTGGAGACTAGGTGATGTGAATCGGAATAAATCTCAGTGATGTAGTTGCACCCACACGTTATCTTCATCTTGGTTGGCATACTGAATTTCATCACTGTTTGCCTCCTTCTTTTCCTCACCTAACGAATTTAAATTACTTCTGATTACTTTCTTTCTTGCTTCTCTATCTTTTCTCCTGTTACCTTCTAGCTATTTGTGTTGATAGTAGGTGTAGCAACTTAGTCCGGTATGCAGTAACGTCAGATACCTACTGAGACTCGATCCCCGTACCCATCGGTTCAAATACCTAGTGGATAACACTTTGGCGTTTGAAGCGACGCCTACTAGATTTGAGTCTCAGGGGTAACAACATCATTCATTGGAGTGCAGGTGTACATCTAGCGGACGGGCCCCAACTGGAACGAAACGCGCATCCTTGATTTCACTGCTAGCCATTGAATAAACCTTTCAGATACAATTGTTAAAGATTAACTGATTCTCACACATAAATTAAACAATTTTAAATTTCAACCCCATTCCCCAATTGTCATCAGATATATGGTAAGACAATACAGGGATTTGTGATCTTACATTATTTATTTAGACGACCACATTGTCTGTCATGATACACAGAGTGTAATTTCTGGATTCTGATGCTCATTACCACCAAACTAACATCACGATGAAAAGCAGGATAATATCGAGACATATGCCAATAGAGTACATACTTTAACAGAGAGAAATCAACTAGCTCCCATAAAAAGAACCTAAGTAACAAATAATAACATCAAAGATTACAGCAGCGTTAACTAATTACTAACTCCTGTACAGGAAGTATGAATTGAAAGCGACCAAAATTAATACTCCAAGTTGAAAGTGTTCTTCTGACTCAACACTTTCACTACTTCGATATGGAGGACATAAAGTAGATTTCAAGGTGCTAAAAAAAACAATATTCTTATGAAAACTGAAGCATAGTTGAAGAAGTTATTTTATGTTTTGACGTAAACTTTCAGTAGAAACGGTTACCTTTACATCATATAACAATTTATCACAGCAGATAGAATTATTTGGGATCAAATGTTTCCCGAAGACTTTAACAGCACCGATCCTTAGCTTTTTTATATAACCAGAAACAAATACTTTTCTAGCGTAAATTTAATACACTACTTTCCTCAAAACTTGACAGTTGTTCAAATAAAACTAGCGTTTACTCAACAACTGAGCGAGTAGCCGTTCTGAAGAATGACTACAATATATCCATAGGAAAATTTACAGTTAAATCAATGATGATTTTCCGACAACTTCGTAAATTCCTAGAGACTGAAAATAATCTCATGAATTAAACACGGTTGAACCAGTATGGGATGAACCCGTTTCCAAGAACTGTTGTCACTCTAACTTTTGAATCGCCTAAAGTAACAGAAAGGTGTTTTAATACACAGACACACAGATGATTAAAAAAAGGCAAACATTTAGATACGATTATCATTTGACTATCAGAGATGGCCGTGGTTTGGCAGACTAGTATTTATACTGGGTTATGATTGAAGGTGAAATGAAAATTTGGACTGCGACCGGATTCGAACCAGCGACCACCCGGATTTAGATATGAGTTTAAAACAAATGAATTTTTATTGAAATAGCTGATCAATAAGCACTGTGTAATTAATAGTGAGCAGTTTCTCATGGTAAATCACCAAAATCAATCAACCGACACTTACCACAACAGTGGCTCTTTATGAGGATGCACTGACACAGCCACCTACTTCATTCCAATATTGTTGTGTCAAGTGCAAAGCATCACCATTGATCAAATCAATAACTGAGAACATTTCGACACCGATTTTCGGAACCCCATAATCTCACAATATTAAAATAACAAGCAAGCTACGCAAAATGCAATTCCTTATTTGGGATTAGAGTGCGCGCGTGTGATAATTTTTTATACACTTCAGATAAGACTCACTATGTAGTTCAGAAAACCACTTGTATAGGGGGTTTAAAAAGTGTTAACAGATTGAAAATATTATTAACACAGACTACTTACGTATCTGTCAATCCAAGATTAGCTATTGATAGACGTCTGAATGTATTTTCTTAACAATACAGTTTCCATAAGGAACAAAATACAACAGGAATACAAATCAATGGTTAAGTATGTCTGTAACCATACATACATAAATTAAGCGAAAACTATTATATTAGCATGAATGCCACTACTATTATCAGAAGATAAACATGGTACCAAGAGATGTAGAGGTGTAACTCACTGTTCTAGCCATTTGATTTTCAACCGAAAGGTCATGGGTTTAAACCCAACTCTACCAGGCGAGGTTTGGGCAGTCAGGTAGTATCGTCAACCTTCAAACAACAGATGTGGCTCATTGTCTACTTCACGAATGTACACTAAATTTCTGAGAGAATTTTGACTTTGACCAAAAGATGTGCCGTACAAAATAATAGTTAGGCAACATTATGAAGATATACGAAAAAGAAGAGGAGATGAAAACAAAAACAGAAGTGGGTTTATAAAGAAGCAGGTTCAAGAATACATTCGAAGAAGTATTTGCTACTTTCCACTCCCTGTACAGTAATAGGAGAAATACGGAAGCTGCATTATTGTCATCCCTAGCTTTATTTCTGGACCATTTCTGATATCGTCTCAAGCCACTGAGTTCCATGATCCTTCATGAACGCCTTGAGAAAAAATCTGAGTATATTTGGTATGCTTTTCGCATACGCCTTGTTGGATACTTCAGGATTAATTTACACTAGCTGTTGGCTTAAAGTTAAGGAGTGAAGTGACGGATTGTGTCAACCACTTCACTTACCTGAGGACTTGTATCAACACGTACAGAGTGGTTGCAAACAGAAAATAAGCTCGGATACAGAAGGCTCGTTTGAAACCCGTACGTGCACCACCACTGGCGCTTGAAAGATATCGGACAACTTAGTGAAGGACGAGTGAACAGCACAGAAGTTAGCGTTGTCCTTTCCTACGTCTGTGAAGACATGACCGTAGAAAGGTGTCACAAGATTGCAGGTGACTGATCACAGATGTCTTCGGAACACAGCTCACTGCATGGCCAAATCACCGTGTGTTCAGTCTCCAGGTTAGACAAGGGGTTTTGACCAACGCAGGCACGTCAGACGATGCTGCTATCGAATCACTCTCTATCTCAACGTACAATGTCAGCCAGAGTAACATTAGATTAGAGGAAGGATAACAGTGGCTAGACCACCACCACCACCAATCTTCATTTCAGTCATGTGTCGAGGTGTAAACCACTTAATCGGGATCCTCAAGATAATACGAATCGGTGGTTAGAGAGTCTTAGCAACACGGCTGAAAATCGGTTACAATGGCATACATATATTCACTCTCTGGTATCATATGAAGCTTGAATATTTTCACTAACCACATTCTCAAATTATCCGCACCCTTACCTACTTTGATATCGATTTTTTTCTATCCACTTGTTCTTTGCATATTGCTGTGATGGGTGACAACTTCCACCGATGCACTTTTGTACGGGGTTCTATTTCGATTTTGTTTGTTTGTCTGTCTGTAATGGTATGAAGTATTACCATCTAGATCCTTCAAAAAGTAAAAAAATCTCTTGAAAACATACACAAATAATCATCGCAGGCCGGATTTTCGTCAAAACCGTAGGATTATAAGTGTACGTACCAGATTAATTTATAAGACCGAATAATAAGAAATGGCTTTTTGGTAGGGTATGTATATATGGTTATCTCAGATAGTTAAAATGATAATCAATACGATGCTCGCCCTCTCTTATTCAGTTAGATTGGGATTGAAATGAGAAGTGTTGACTAGGCAGCCAGTGGGAATACGATCAAGCGATAGTAACGCGTCACGAATTCATAGGGTAGTCGGGAAACATCCCTGGTGATTGAAGTGAAATAAAAATCTGGTCAGCAGTCGGACCTCGTAGCTCAGTAGATGGAGCATCAAACCGGAAACCCGGTGGTCGATGGTTCGAATCCGGCTGTGGTTCAAATTTCCATTCCATATATATATATATATATATATATATATATATATATATATATATATATATATATATATATATATATATACTAAGTACAGTTTTGACTTGACAATCTACGTCCTACCGGCTTATCGCTTTTTTTCCTGTTTTTTCAGGAACCAAGCAAAAATTAAGGTTGTACTCTGTTCACAACATCTACAAATGTAAATCAGTATATGGTGTTTTATGAAATGGCGATAGAGATATGTGTTAACTTTTCCTGCGAATTGGTTCGAATACAGAATGAAAAGACATGAAAGCAGATTTGAGCGAATGACCATTTAGACACCTAAGAACTGAGGGCACTTTGACTAGCATCATTTCTGTGAAATTTTAATTTTCCTACACAGGTTAAGTGAATACTTCTATTGACGGATTTCGTTTCGATGGCTAAGAAAGAGTAACATTAGAATCATTGTTTTAGAAAATATTAGAGATAATTTCATTTCAAAATTCAAAGGCTGGATGGCTTGATGCAATTGAAAATCCTTCCAAAGATTTAGGCAAAGCGGAACTTGATAAATGCATCAATTTTATTTTTTGAAGTATCCAAGAGACATACATATGTTAAGACTGTAAGAATTCTATCGCAGATATTGGAGAACGAGTATCACTTTTTAAAATCAAGTATCAATGACTAAAGTTTGTCAAAGTACCAGGTCATGTTTGGGCAAACCACGCTGGGATCAGTGGTCGGGAATGAAAGCACTGTAAACTTCCACCAGAATTGACATCATGAAGCCAGAACTCACTGGTCTAATGTTCAGTTCGAAACCAGGGGTTACCGTTCAAGCCTACCCCACCAAAAATAGTTCGGCAATTTGTCCAGTGATATAATCTTACAGCTAAAAAGCGTTATCGAACCCAGTATCTTGGAAGTTCATGTTGATAACAAGATGCGCCACTATTTTGTTTCAGTGATGTAACTCAACACTAGGACAAAGACAAGATTGAATTGTCAGTAAATATGTATGATCTTAGAAAAATTTTAATACTGTAAAAACATATATATATATATATATATATATATATATATAATATATATATATATATATACCGTTAGCAACGTACTCTTTATGTACACTAAAAGCGTATTAATTTACCTGACTCCTGAGCCATAAAGAATAAAGGAGAGCACAGCACAAATATAGGCGTAAGTGCAAACAGCTGAAATACGCGAAAACGCATCACCAAGATATAAGCAACAGCATCAAGACCTGCTCGTCTTGCAAACTCCGGAGAACTGCGCATTAGACAAATTACATGTAATGAAACAGAAATGAAGCAAAAATTATGACAGTTCGTAATTTCATATTATCAATTAACTGAGTAAAAGTAATCTATCCTTACAATACATGAGCTGCTTCTAAAAATAGGTTGATTCCATGAACTAGATTCTGATACAGAATATTAGAAAATATTTGTAGCGCAGAATGGGGATGAAAACTGTTTGGTGTTCCAACACTTTTGAGGTTCCCCTTCGGACTTTTTATCAGCAGGCTAGATAGCTTCATTGGTATTCACTTCACAAAGTGGTGATGAAGTCACCTAGCCAGGAAGTAAGACGTCCAAACATAAATCTCAAAACTACAGGAACACCAATCATTACGATATGCTTTTTGTGACGACTAGTAGTGGAATCCAACAAGCCAGATCCTTAATGTTGGCGGCTCATTATGTTGAGCTACCTGCATCTCGATGAGTTTCAGTATCCTCAGTGTAAATTGAACTTAGTAGTCGTAACTTCCAATGCCGGATTAATATCCATTGGACTAGTGGACTACAGGTCCTACCCTTTCCAAAGCAGGTGATACTTGACATTGAACTTGTTATTATCTGGCTGAGGTCAGTCACCACTAGTCCTCACTAAGAAAAGCAATAACAGTGGATCATACACTGGTCACACTTATTTTCTTTAAGACCTCTGCACACATTACAAATCGAAAACAACGCTGTACACAACAGGAAATCAATTAATGAATCTTCTCAATCTAACCACATGTTCAGATACACATATTTTAAAATGACCTCTGACAAACATAATAACAGGGATGTTAATTACTACTATTAGTACAATAATTTTGTAGACTTAACAATAGTTCAGAATAGAATGAAGACTGCAACTCAAAACAGATACAGTTACCAATGAGAAAACAGTAAAGCTAGTTACTGTTATTAAAACATTTACACATCAATAATCTTAGTTTCAAAAGCTGCACAAGTGTATTTAGAAATAAAGTAGACCTGTAGCCTAACAATGCAACACAACTTGACATAACACTAGTCACACTCAGCTTTCTTTTGCATATTTATGCGGCAGGAAATGAGTCATACTTACTGTATGAGGGCTAGTGCTAACACCTGGTTTCCCAAACCTCGACAGGTGGAGCGGGGCTCAAACCCACGACCTAATAGTTGGCAGCCATCTCCCTAAACCACTGAACAACAAGCCTCACTTATTGTGTGAGGGCTTATGATACCATCTAGCTGCTTAAGCCGAAGAAAGTAAGTGGGTTCTGAACTCAGGACCAGATGATCGAAAGTCAAGTGCTAGAAACCATTGAACCATATCTCACACCGGATAATTGTAGTGTATTGTCATGCAACAAAAAGAGTTTGGAAGGGGAAGTAAAATGTGTAAAACAAAACTGGAAATAGTTATTTCATGACAAGTGTAAAAATGATTTAGCCGATGTAGAAAAACTAAAACAACGAACGACAAAAATCAACACTACAGTCGAAAAATATCACTAAAGGTAGGAAAACTTTGTAAAAAAGAAATTACAACTATGACTATCGTAAAGCTGAAGAGTTGACGCGATAACACTGAACACCACAATCAGGTTAAAAGTTATGAATTGCGATTGGCTATCAGTGACACAGGTGAAATTCCGTGGAATCGCAGATAAGGAATGAACTGATATGAAAGACTCAACATCTAGAGACGACCAGGTATTTGGAAATAGAGCTGCTGATATTCCTACCGCTTCTTCTGGATAGCCAAGCTGAACGACGTTCAAAAGTATGTTCGTCGACTTCACGCTGTGTACGGCAAATGTACATTGCTGTAAACAGGGATTATAACACCGATACATAAACAGTGAGATGGTGAAAGACGCTATTCTATCAATAACACTGTCAGCTAAAGAACTTGATTCTTAGGTTATCTCAGAAGAATGTTTACCTCAGAAAGTGAGTGGCAACTTTTGAGGGTTTCCGCAATCACATCACCCATGATTTATAGATTCATTTAGAAATTGCTTGTTTTAACGACTGACAACTTGCATTTGTCTCCTCATTTCTTCAACAACAAAAAATGTACAAGCAAAGTTCCGTTTGCTGATGAGTAAGATGTACCTTTGGAAGTTATTAAGTTATCCTGCACATTTTGGTTTTCTGTACATTGATCTCTGAACAGATTATTCGATCTCTTCGCTTGTGACACATCCAGGAATGGAAATATCAAGCTTGATTCACGTTCTAGGATAAATTCAACAGACGTACGAGTAGCGTGAATCGTACTGAGAAGACTGCTCAAGTAGAATTTTTCATGATAAATGATAGAAATATCACTGACGTATCTTTTGTCAAAGCGAACTGGATTAATTAGTGAGTATATTCAACCATTTTCAAAACACAACAAAATAAACAAGTAGAAGTAAATTATCTGGCCATCTTTCTGTACATAAAGGTGCTTCTTCACCGTGAACTGTATGTTCAACGAGCATTAGGAAAGTAGTTTTTTTGGGTAATTTATTTGCAAGTAGATCAGTTTTAAGATGATGGAGAATATTTGTAACTCCGGAGAATAATTTTGATGTCGTTGTGTTCTCCAAACTGGATGGTTTAGTCGTGAAGCTTACATTGTCATTCTAGATAATATCAGCATAAACTTCCGAAAGAAGTAACCTAGAGGGTTTTCTCCACAACTTGCCCAGTACCTTGTTCTGATGGCCTTGTGTACGATTGGTTGTTTCTGCAAACCCTTATCATTATCTCCACTAGTTGTCCAGCTGACGTGAAGTTTGGCCTTCTTGTTGTTTCTGATTGATTGATAGATTGGATCAATGCCACATTGTCTCTTGATTGCTGACTGATCTGAATACCAAGCTTTTAAAAATTACCTGGTATTCTTTCTATTTCTTCTATCCAGTATTTCCACATTTTCACAGTTAAATTCATGTACACAGTTGTCCATATGCATTGATTGATATGAGCGAAGATACATCACGACGCTTCACTGCTAGTTGATTTTCATGTAGATGGATATATCCCGTAGAAACATGTGACCACTCTATCAACTCTTCGACAATTTTTGGAAAAGATCAGGCATTTTCATGTTAATAACGACTGACTGATGGTGTCTTTTAACGTTACAGTTCTATACACCTCAAACGAACTGAAACTGGCTTAATATACAATGAGTCAACGATACACACCCGTCGGAACACACACAACTTCAATGTTCAATTTTGGTGGAATCAATTGATTTACCTCTCATAACACATTTTCGATTCAACGATAAACTCTACAAACAGATGAAAGGAGTAACAACAGAATCGTCTATATCAGGGCTACTTGCAGGAGCAGCAATGAAAAGATTGGAAATTTTGGCATTGCCGTTGATCAAACCAAAACTTTGAGTCCGTATGTAGGTGATATGTTTGTCATCGTTAAAAACGACTTGAAAAACGCTCACAAAATAATCAACATCTTCGAAGACATCAAATTCACAACTCAAGAGGAACCAAAAAAAACAAACTTGCATTATTGGATTTTCCGATCACCAGAACGGATTCGGGAAGATTGGAAACTCAAGTATGCAGAAAACTAACTCTTACAGAACGAATCTTCAACCACAATAGGAACAACCCAACAGCATACAAAATCAGCTGCATAAAAACATTATCCAAAGCAGCAAAGACACTGTAGTGCATCAACCTTGGGGAGAAAAGAAAACTACTTAATATCTGTTTTCCAGATAAATGACCATCCACATAGCTCCATCAAAAGTTTTTTGCATAATTCGTCGTCAACCAAGAAGTTAGTCTCAGAAACTAACAAACGGATTGCCTTATCCTGCATGAAGAACGTCTCCAAGATCACGGCTAGATTATTGAAACCTATTCGAATGGTAGTAGCTCATAAGCACACAAAATCTCTTCACTCTCTGTAATGAGGACCAAAAGATACAATAGCCCTACAATAGCTAGAAAATAAACTGCAGAAACTGCGAGAAACACTACATAAAATAGAGTGGTCGCCCCTTTCGCATCCGTCTACATGGACATCAACGAGCAGTGAAGCGTCAACACATCGCCACTTGTTATACCTTTGTAGTGACTACTTAATATAACCTGATACACACATATATAACCTTCACTTGCTCCATCACAAAACCTCAGTGCAGCACGATTGATTGTAAAACGTTTCAGGGGTTTACGGTTTCTCAAGAAGACTTTTTCAATCTTTCTGCACAATATAACGTGATGTATCTTCGCTCATATCAATCAATGCATATGGACAACTGTGTACATGAATTTAACTGTGAAAATGTGGAAATACTGGATAGAAGAAATAGAAAGAATACCAGGTAATTTTTAAAAGCTTGGTATTCAGATCAGTCAGCAATCAAGAGACAATGTGGCATTGATCCAATCTATCAATCAATCAGAAACAACAAGAAGGCCAAACTTCACGTCAGCTGGACAACTAGTGGAGATAATGATAAGGGTTTGCAGAAACAACCAATCGTACACAAGGCCATCAGAACAAGGTACTGGGCAAGTTGTGGAGAAAACCCTCTAGGTTACTTCTTTCGGAAGTTTATGCTGATATTATCTAGAATGACAATGTAAGCTTCACGACTAAACCATCCAGTTTGGAGAACACAACGACATCAAAACGTATATCACAATATCTTGGTTTCTGACCTTATGTAGTCGTATACAAAGTAGATAGACATGAGACTTTCCTGTTCATAACAATGAACATTCAAATTAACCTAAAAAACAACAGTCCACTTAATTTTCTAAAACTTGAAGCGATTTAATAGAAGGACTTTATATATAATTCCATCTTCAGTGTGTACATTTTCCTAACTGTACTAAGGCGTATAAATGTAATTAATATCTATGCTTTTATATAAAAAAGTGCTTACACAGAAACAAAAACAATGTAACAAGTATTAGAACATTTATTGGAGTGGATAAGTGCCAGCGTGAAACAACAAAAATCAGCGAG